AACTCCAGCTCTGGTCAAAATCCACCTTTCCAGCTTCTTCAAACCTCCCTTTGAGCATCTGCCCTTAGGTAGAAGAAAAGCACTCAGCACCCTAACTGGTCACTCCTGGACTCCAGTCTACCCTGCTGCCCCAAATCCTGCCAGGTTCCCCTAATCCCTTCACTCCCAGGTCTCTCTCCTCTCCCCACACACCTATACCACTCCCTCCCACCCCACTCTCAGTTAGCAGAGAATATCAAGAGATTTCCACCTCCACATCTCTGGGTCCACCTGCTGCTGTGCCCATACACTCCTGATAGTGAGTTCAGGCCACCTGTGTCTCCAAGCCCCATCCCTGCACTTGGGCTATGGATCCCGAACTTCCACACTTCCCAAGAACTTTGCTCAGATAATTGTCCCCTCAAGCAGACTGCCCCCTTTCTACTGGATCATTCTCTAACTCTGAGAACAGATCCCTTCACTCAACATCTTAGATGTCAGAGGGCTGAGCTCTACTTTACAACTTAGATCATTCTGGAGAATGAATTACGGGGGAACAAGCAGAAATAAGGACTTTAGTGAAAAGGCTATTGGAGAATAGTTCCAGRACTATCAAACTGGAACATACTGACCACTCTTAGCCTGGACTCTCTGGAAGCTGGAGAACTGTGGCAGAATAAGGAAGACTAGAGAGACCACACAGCCAAATGCAATCTATAAACTTTACTCCATTCTCAGGCTCAACATAAAGAATCAATTAAGGTAAAACACTACATGTCCCCTTTCTCCTGGATCATTCTCTAACTCTGAAGGATAAAAATCATAGAATCATCTCAATAGACGGAGGACACGCTTTTAAAAAATTTAACACCTTTTTCTGACTAAAAGAAAACAAACTCCCAAAAACTAAGTGTAGAAGGAATTTAATTCAACTTACCAAAGGCCATATTGAGACAGCCCATGGGAGAGTACACAATGGTGCAGAGCTGAAAGCTATCCCTCTAACCTAGGGAACAGGACAAGATGCCCACTCTTGCCACTTCTATTCAGCGCAGCAGTGGGAAGAAAGATGCCAGAAAAAAATCAAAAGGGGAAAAAAAAAAAGGAGCTAGAGAGTAAAGGAAGCCTAAGTTTGTGAGTGGAAAACACAAGGTGCCAATGTGGTCACTGACTGCCATGAAGTTGAGTAAATGCAACAAGATGATAAGGGCAGGCAGATCGTAGGTGTGACACCCAGAGGGAATGGTGGCAGAGGAAAGAGTTCACAGAGAAGTCCAAGGCCARAGGAAGGCAACAGAGGCCAMGCTGGGCRYAGCCTCAGCCAAAACCCAGAGGTGAACAGGTGAACTGCAAGCASCTTCCTGCAGAGGGCGCTGTCAATCTGAGTCTAGGCACCAAGTTGGGTGTCACAGAAGAGTGGGAGCTGACCATTCAGACCTCAGTTCTTGTGTCCCATGAAAATCAAGCAAGCAAATTTTATTGTAGGTTAATAAGCACACTCTCCAGACAGAGTACATGTCTCCAAGCAGAGAACGACCAGGAAACTTTTCTGCTTCCAAACTGATAACTGTCTGGTGTTCACCAGGAGAACCAGAGTCCACCTTCTGCAGCCTTTGCCTGTCAAATGTGTAAAAAAAAAAAAAAAAAAAAAAAAGGCATTTCAGAGAAACTCTGTGCCTTGCTGTGCTATTGGTTCATGTTTCACTGCTCATTATTAAACTGCTACCTAACAGTGAGACACTCTTCCTGGATTAGAGAGATAGAAAAGAAAACAATCTAGAATTCTCATGGAACCACAAAACACCGCAAATAGCCAAGGCAATCTTGAGAAAGAAGGAAACTGTAGATATCACACTTCCTGGTTTAAAATGATACTATGACACTCTAGTAATTAAAACAATGTGGTGCTGGCATAAAGGCAGACATAGAGACCAACAGAACAGGATGCAGTTCCCAAAACAAACCCACAAACACATGGTCGTCTGATAAGAGTGCCAAGCATATACAACAGGAAGGAGCCTCTTTAATAAATACGGCCAAGAAACTGGAAATCCTCATGCAAAAGAATGCCTTTATCTTACACCATACAGAAACATCGACTAAAACAGCTTAAATAATTAAATGTAAACATGGGCTAGAAGACTTAATATTGCTAAAATATCCACACTTCCCAAAGCAATCTACGTGCAAACAGCCAACTTCTCATTATATCCTTCTTGACACTGGTCTTGGCAATGAAATTTGGGCTATGACACTGTATTGGCMAACTTTGGCTTTGCTGTAACCAAAATACCTGAAAAGAATGAGTTAGAGGAGGATACGTTTATCTGAGGCTCATGGTTTCAGAGGTCTCAGTCCATAGATGGCTGACTCCATTGCTCTGGGCCCAAAGCAAAACAGCAAACRTGGGGAAAGGACCCAGTAGAGGAGCTGCTCAGCTCATGGTGGGGTCAGGAAGCACAGGTGGGAAGGGTCACAGGGAAGATGCACCTCCAGAGGCCAAGCTGGGCATAGCCTCAGGACAGCCCCCAGTGACCACCTCCTCAGCCACGCCCCACCTGTCCACAGGTACCACCAGTCAGCCCATTCGAACTAGGACRGGTTGATCAGGTGTCAGCTCTCACAGACCAGTCATTTCACCTCTGAGCATTCCTGCATGAGCAGGAGCTTTTAGGAAACACCTCACTTCCAAACCATAACAGGTACCAAAAGAACAGGCAGCAAAAGCAAAGCCAGACAAGTGGAATTCCACCACACTACACGTCCTGCATACTGCAAAGGAAAGGCAGCCTGTGGGAGGGAGAAAGACCGMGAACCACATATCTGAGAAGAGGTCAGAAGTCAAAACCAAATAACTGATTCTAAAATTGGCAAAGGACTTAACATTCTCCAAATAAAACACACAAATGACCAAGAGGTAAAGGTGTTCAACAGCACTAATTGTTAGGTAATGCAATTAAAACCACAAGGATTTATCACCCCACACCTGACAGGATAGCTATTATCATAAACAAAGCTACACACACCAGGAAGGATGAGAAGACGGCCATGCTCCTGGTAGGAATACAAAATGGTGAGTTATTATGGAAAACAGTGTCAAAAGTCCTCAAAAACCCAAAAGTATGATGTATATGATGCACCAATCTCACTTTGGGGTGTACATGCAGGAAAACTGAAACCAAGGTCTCACACCTCCACTCTCCCCTTCCTTGTAGCATTGTTCACAATAGCTAAATATGGTGAACCAATGCCCATCAACAGATGAATGGTTAAAGAAAATGTGAAATATACACACCATAGAACATTATAAGCCTGAAAAAAGGAAATTCTGCCTTAAGTAGGACATGGATGAGCTGGGAGGAGATTATGCTATGCAAAATCGGCTAGTCGCACACAGACAGACACAGCATGATTCTACTCACATAAACTMTCTAACAGAGTTGAATTCATAGAAGCAGAGAGAAGGGCAGTTGGCAGGGGCTGAGAGTGGGAGGGAATGGAGAGTGGTCAGACTCTTTCAAAATGAAAGATGAAAAAGCTCAGGAGATCAGCTATAGAACACAGAGGCAACTAATAATRCAGTATTGTGTGCTTCAACAATTAAGATGGAAGATCTCCTGTTATGTATTCTTAACCCCCCCCCTGCCCCCAACACACACACACACAGAGGAAACTTTTGAAGGTGATGATTACGTTCATTACCTTTCTTGTTCATTACCTTTTTGGTTTCATGTTTGTATTCAGTCCTAATAGACTCATCAAATCGTGTACTTTAAATGTGCACAGTTGTTTCTAAAAAAAAAAAAAGGTGAGGGTGCTGGTAAATGTTTAAGACTGGCTCAGAGTGCAGGCACCCAACCAGACCATTTGCCAATTTTCATTGTGTAAGTTTTCTGACGGTGACCAAAGTCTCTTGATATTCTCAAACTCAGAGTTGGAAGAGGTGTATACATTCTCTCACTACAAGCCAACTCCAGCACACCACTAGGACGCTTTGGACATTCTGCATTTTGTGGAGGAATTTTAAGGTAGACTATATGTTGGACTRTATATTAAATTTATATAGACTTTCTTACATGGAGTGTGGAACTGACAATATGATTGGCAGGGCATGTGCCCTTGCTTGTGAGACCCWGGCTGAAGCATCTGGATGGCACCGATGTTTCCAGATTAGTTTCAGATGGTTTGGCAAGAGCCATCGGGGTGTGTGGGGGGGAGAGCGGTGGGGGGCAGAGCATGGAGGTGGGGGGGAGCATGTGTGGGTGGTAACCTCTTTTATACATTGTTATTCCTTAATGAAACAGGTTCTTCAACAATTTCAACTGTCTCTTTATATTTTGCAAAAGAAAAAAATTAATTTTTTACCAACAGATTAACACCTGGATCTGCAGCTTCTGTTGAGCCTAAAGCCTTGTGAGATTGGCAACATTTATCTAAACTAAATCCACAGGTGCTGCTTCCAGTCAGACTYTATCTGACCCACTTCTTGCCTACTTCTAGAGGACTGTGTGGGGAAATGTCCCCAGACACAAGACCTAAGACGGTYTGCAATGCTAGGTTCCCAGCCCTGGGTGGAGAGAACAGGAATGCGGGGTACCTCCACTGTGGTCCTCCTGTTCCTCTTGACTGAGTGGAGGTCTGAAGGTTGTCTTAGGCTTTCCCAGACACACCTCACCAGCTCCCTCTGCTGACCCAATCTGAAGGATGATGCCGCTGGAACTCCTGGTGAATCCTCAATTTCAAAATCACACTCAGGGAGTCGGGAAGCGCCAGCCGTGGAACAACCTGATCGGAGCCTCTTGATGCAGGTCACCTAAATTGCTCTATCTTTTTCGACCGCACCCGATGCTCCAAGAGGCCAAGTTAGGAGTCAGGGTGAGAAGTTTGTGCCCAGTTGGTTGGGCGGAGGGCTGTCTGGCGCCCCCTGCCGGCGCCCGAGGCCCAGCGCGCCTGCCTCCCTCCAATCCGAAGGCCGCTCTCACCGTCGCCCAGCCCCCAGGGCCGCGCAGGCCCGAGCTCCGGTCCCCACCAACTCTTTAGTGCGAACGCTTCCTGCTGTCACCAGCCTGAGARGCCAGTGGCTTGGCTTTGAGGCAGAGAGGGCTGTGATCAAATCAGCCTTAGGTCTCCTCTTAGGACCAGTAACTTGGGTTTCAGAGAGAGGGGGAGAGAGGGACACCCTCTTGGGCCTTCGGCTCGGAGCGTCTGCTCCCTGGAACGAGGTAAGTGTCCGGGGCTTGTTTTTAGGGGAAATGTTTACAGAAGCTGCGTTTGCGGGGGACGCTGTCCTTGCCAAGCCCGTTCGCTGGGGAGGTGGGTGACTGGAGCCTCTGGGTGCAGGTCACAGCAGCTCAGTTAGGAAGTCAGGAAGCCCAGGGCAGTGGTCGGGAGACCAGGGTCACGTTGGGGGTGGGAAGGAGTTGTCCCTGAGAAGAACAGAGTCCCGGACTGCCGGAGTCCAGCTTGCCTCTGATTTCCTCTTGGGAAGGACAGCAGAGCCAGGCTCTGGAAACCGAGACCCTCCACAGGTGGCGGCGGGGAATCTGTGAGCTCATGGTGCCCAGGAGGAGAAACGCAGCTGATGAGATCCCAAGGCCCACACACGACACGGTGTGCAAACCACCCACATCTCTCCATGTCCCAGAAGATGAGAGCTGGGGGGTAGTATGGGGTGCAGATTCCTTCTGGACAAAGGTCCAGTTCAGAAAGCAGGACTGCAAAACCCAAAGGCCAAGTGTCTTCTCTGATAAGCAGATGCTGATCCATAGTGGGAGGTGGGGAGAAGGGAGGAACTTGGGATGGTGCCAAGGGGCATCAGGGGAGGGAGGGGCTGGGAAGGGAAGGACGCAGGGATGGGAGGACATCGTTACCTGTACACACCTGTGATGACACGCCCCGGTGACTGCACCAGGTCCAGCCAGAGCAAGGGAAGTGGTGCTCCCTTTGTGAACAGTGTGTCAAAATGCACTCGACTCTCATGTGTAACTAATGAGAACAAATTTTTAAATTTTTAAAAATGAAAATAAAACAAGCTTCGTACCCAGAGCATGCTGCTGTCACAGGCCTTCACATGCCCTGTTTGACTGTCATCCTTTCTCCACCCGGCAGTGTCTCTGTGAGGGCTGTCACTGTGGCTTTTTTGTTGTTGTTTGGTTTTTGTTGATTTATAAGACTTTATTGCTTTTATGTAATCACTGAGTCCCGTTGTTTGGGGCCCTACACTTGGGTACCCAGGGCACRCCTGTTGAATGAATTCATTTGCCACCTGTCTATTCAGTTCAGTGTATTTCTCACTTTACCAATTCAATAAATGACTACTTTTGCGTGTGTTGTTAATGTCAGAGCACAGCAGAGATCTACCAGTGCCAGACTTTCACCCAGGAGCCTAGCAGTTTCATGCCTGTAATCCAGCAGTTCAGGAGGCTAAGGCAGGAGGATCATGAGTTCAAAGCCAGCCTCAGCAAAAAGTGAGGTGCTAAGCAACTCAGTGAGACCCTGTCTCTAAATAAATATAAAATAGGGCTGGGGATGTGGCTCAGTGGTCAAGTGCCCCTGAGTTCAATCCATGGTACCCCCCCCCCAAGAAAAAAAGAAAATCCAGTTTCTTTTTGGTAGAGGCCATTTATTTCCTGTTAGAAGCTGGTGGACCCAAAGTGATCCACAGTGTTTGTCTCTTTGTTTCCAAGTGTGTTGATGAATTTCTTCTGTCTGAGCTGTCTTTTCTGGGGAGAAAGGAGGGAGGGAGAGAGGGAGAGAGATGATAATGAACACTGAGTAAATATTTTATGCTAGGCACTTTTGTGTAAATGATATCACCTTGTCTAATACACAGTCCTTTCGCTTAGATATTTTTCCAATCTTACAAATAATGTAGGTAAGAGTGATTCTGTAGTTTTTAAAGGTTCATATGTCAAGTCAGCAGCAGAGACAAAGTTCAGACCCATCCTACTGACTTCAAAAGTCCACTCTCCTTGCAGCCTACTTGGCTCTCCCAAATAAACCAAGAGTCTGAAAGAGGAGTAAGTTTCGCAACAGATAATGAGCTGGTTATGGAGATCGCAACCTTATGAAGGGCAGAACAACCAATAAATTTGTAACAGGCAACCCCAGGAAGTCCCTCTGATTCTCACTGCGAGTCCATGAATCTGCCAGAACCAGTTGAGTCTAAGGGTCTGTGGCCCAGGTGCCTTCCTTGCTCTCCACAATACAGAAGAGACATTGCGTGTGTGCCTGGAGCTTCTGATCTGATGAGGAGGCAAGTTCAAGGACCACAGGGGCAAACTCCCCAGGCCYATGCCAAGTGTCAGCACAAACCTGAGCCTAGGGCAAGAGGTCCTGCAAGTCACAGGACCCCTCAGGCTGTCTGGCCAACGTCACGGGCACTTCCTGGCCTCAGGGAAAGAGACCCATGTGTGGAGTGGACTCTGCATCTCCTTAGCAGGGCAGCCTCTGCTTATGCTGAGGAGGATGCCTGCTTTCCCCCCGGGTTGCTCTGCGGCTCGATGACTATCTGCTCTCTCGCCCACCCCCCACTACCAAGCCAGACACCACTGTGGCAAGTGGCACACGACTACAAAATCACACAGAGGATACCTAGCCAGATCCCAACTCAAAAAGTATCCTATCTTCAAAGGCAAAAGCAAATGAGAGTATTTTGTAAAGCAGTTAAATACGTGGAGGTCTCAATGACTGCTTGTGTGTTTTCTGAACTGGCCAAGGAAATTGCAGGGAAAAACAACCCTTGCGACTAAGTCCACTAGACGTGTCGAGAGCCTCATCGCGACGTGAACCTGGGTTACTGGAGTAACTGGTTACCTGAGGGAKGCGAGAAAGCTGCACTGAACCCCGGCCACCCCCGCTCCAGTGCCCCTGACAAGCACAAGCCTCCTCGTGTCCACTTGACCTCACCTTGGACTCCAAAATGGCCCATATGGCTCTCCAGGGGATTCTGTTCTCCAGTATGTCCATCAGTCCTGCCTCTGCACAGGGTTAAGGATCCCCACCAGTCCACAGGAGTGAGACTTGTCTTTCTGCATAATGATCTCCATTGCTATCCGCCCTCCTGCAAATAAAAGGACTTCATTATTCTTGTGGAGGAGAGGTATCCCATTGTGTATATATGCCACACTTTCCATTTGTCAGTTGGTGGACACTTGTTTCCATTTCTTGGCTATCACAATAGTGCCCCGAAGAACATGGGAGTGTGGCTGTCTCTTCAAGGTACTGATCTCATTCTCTTTGGATGTATGCCCTGCAGTGGGAGTGCTGGGTCATACGGCAGACTTAGCTTTATTTTTTTTAAGAACTGCATACTGTTTTCCATAAAGCTATGCTGGTTGACATTCCCAACAGTGTGCACATTCTCACCAGATGTACTGTCTTTAGTCTTGAAATATATAATTAACTATTATATATATATATATATATATATATATATATATATATATATAGTTAGTTAGTTATAGGTGGACATAATACCTTTATTTTATTCTTATGTGGTGCTGAGGATTGAACCCAGTGCTTCACACATGCTAGGCAAGTGCTCTACCTCTGAGCCACAATCCCAGCCCCTGTCTTTAGTCTTTTGGATATTTAGCCATTCTATCTCAAGAGTGGGGTGAGGTGATATTGTGATTTTGATTTGCATTTTCCTTAGAGTTAGTGATGTTGAGCATTTGTTCATCTACCTCTTGGTCATCTGCATGTCTTCTTTTGAGAAATGTCTATTTAGGTCTATTGCCCATTTTTAATTGGTTCATTTGGGGGTGTTTTTGCTACTGAGCTTTTGGAGTTCCTTATAGATTCTCTTACACATTCTGGATATCAACCCCTTGTCAGATGTACACATTACAGAGGTCTTCTCCCACTCTGCAGGTTGTCTCTGCATTATGTTGATTGGTTCCTTCCAAGTGCAGTTTTTAGGTTTATGTAATACCATTTGTCTGGTTTTGCTTTCATATCCTGTGCTCTTGGGTCTTGTAAAAAAAAATCCTTGCCTGCGCCAATGTCTTGAAGCATGCCGCACCACCCCCCAGGATTTTTTCTAGGAGCCTCATAGCCAGATCTTACTCACGCTGAAGTGTTAATCCATTTTGCACGGATCTCAGTAACTGGTACAAGACGGGGGTCTAGCTTCTCTCTTCTGCATGTGGATCTCTTAATTTTCCCAGCACCATTTAGTGAAAGGACTATCCTTCCTCCCGTATGTGTTCTTAGCCCCTTGGTTGAAAACTGGATGGCTATAAAAGCATGGCTTTACTTCTAGGCTGCGTATTACCTTCCACATTCTTCCACATGTCTGCTTTCATGTCAATCCCATGCTGTTGATGACCAGTACATGTTGAAGTCAGGTAGTATTCTATATGCTGCTTGGTTCTTTTGGCTCAAAATGGCTTTGACTTCAAGGTTTTGTGTGGTTCCATAGAAATTTAGAATTGCCTTTTTTCCTGCCCTGTGAAGAACACCATTGTTTGGAGCAGTGACTGGTTGGTTGGTTTGTTTAATTTTGGGTACTGGGGATTGAACCCAGGGCACTTTACCACTGAGCCACATCCCCAGCCCTTTTTATTTTTTTATTTTTAGAYAGGGTCTCACTATTTAGGGCCTCCCTAAGTTGCTGAGGTTGGCCTTGAACTTGCCATCCTCCTGCTTCAACCTCCCAAGCCACTGGGATTACATGTGTGTGCCACAGTACCTGGAATCATCGGCATTTTAATATGAATTTCATTGAATTTATAAATCACCTTGGGTAGTACGAACATTTTAAAACTATTGATTCTTCCAATCCCTGAAATAAAATATCTTTCCACTTTTTTAGGTTCCCTTCAATTTCTTTCATTAATGATTTATAATTTTCATCATAGAGATTTTTCACCTCTTTGGTTAAATGTATTCCTAGGTATTTGATTTCTTTTTGCAGCTATGTACATTGGATGGTTTTCTTGATTTCTGTATCAGATAGTCTGTCATTGACAAATAGTAACATTAATGATTTTTGTAGGTGATTTTATATCTTACAACTTTGGTGAACTCATTTATTAGTTCTAATCATTTCTGGTTGTGTTTTTTGGAATTTTCTGTATATAAAATCATGTCATCTGGGGTAGGGTTGTGGCTCAGTGGTAGAGTGCTTGCCTAGCATGTGTGAGACCCTGGGTTCAATCCTTAGCAGCACATATACATAAATAAAATAAAGGTCCACTGACAACTAAAAAATTTTTTTAAAAAAATCAAATTATGCAAACAGTGATAATTTGACATTTTTTCCAACTTGGATGCCCTTTGTTTTTTTCTCTGACTGACTGCCCTGGCTAGGACTTCCAGCACTATGTGGAAGAGGATGGTAAAACAGGCATCCTTGTCTTGTTTCAGATCTTGAAAAGTTTTCATCTTTTTCCCATGCAATATAATGTCAACTGTTGGCTTATTATAAATGGTCTTCATTGTGCAGAGGTACATTCCTTATGTGCCTAATTCATTTAGCATTTTTATCATGAAAAGATGTTGAATTTTATTGATCCATTTTCCATAATCACATTTGAATATAATGAACCATCCTTGCATTCCAGGGATTAATCCCACTTGGTCATGGTGCATAATCTTTTTAATATGCTGTTATATTTGGTTTGCTAGAATTTTATGGAGGATTTTTTTTGCATATATGGTCATCAAGGATACTGGCCTAGAGCTTTTTTTCTTTTGGGGGGGATGGTGGTGGTAGTGGTGGTGGTCATTATTATTGTGTCCTTGTCAGATTTGGGTGTCAGGATAATCCCAGGCTCATCAAATGTCTTTGGAAGAATTCTTTCTTCTTCTATTGTTTTACATCTTTAAATGCTTGGTGGAATTCAGCAGTAAAGCCGGGTACAGTGGCACATGCCTGTCATCCCAGCAGCTCGAGAGGCTGAGGCAGGAGGAGCACAAGTTCAAAGTCAGCCTTAGCAATTTAGTGAGGCTCAAAGCAATTTAGAAAGATCCTGTCTCAAATTTTTTTAAAAAATGGGTCAGGGATGTACATTACTGGTTAAATACTCCTGAGCTAAATGTCTAGTACCAAAAACATAAAAAATCAGCAGTGAAGCCAACTGGTTGTGGGCTTCTCCTTGATGAGAAGCTTTGTATTACTGATACAATCTCATTACTTGGTATTGGTTTGTTCACGTTTTCTATTTATTCATGTTTCAGTCTTGGTAAGATTTTTACCTAGGAATTTATCCATTTCTTATAGATTATCAAATTTGTTGGCACATAGTTGTTCTTAAAAATCACTAATATCTTTGTATTTCTGTGGTGTCGGTTGTAATGTCTCCCTCTCCATCACTGACTTTCAGTCCTTTCTCTGCTCTTCTTAGTTATAGCTGAGGGTTTGTCTATTTTKTTTATCTTCGAAGAGCCAGCTCTTTGATTCATTAATCGTATGTATTGCTTTTTAGTGTCTGACTCAYTCATTTCTGCTCTGATCTTTATTATTTCTTTCCTTCTACTGATTTTGGGTTAGTTTGTTCTTGTTTTTCTAGTTCTTTGAGATGCAGCGATAGGTTGTTTAAGATCTTTCTACTTTTTTGATGTGGACATTGATTGCTAAAAACTTTTGCTTTTGCTGTTATCTCATAGGTTTTGGTATGTTGTATCTCCATTTTCATTTGTTTCAAGAAATGTTTAGCTGGGACTGTGGCTCAGTTGATCTAAAGTAATTTCCATGTATTTGTATAGTTCCCAAAGTTTTTCTTGTTATTGATTTGTAGCTTTATTGTATTTTGGTCAAAAGAATACTGTATATGATCTCATTTTTTTTTATTTTTGAGACTTTTTTATGACCTATCATGTGATCTGTTCTCTAGAATGTTCCATGCACTGATGAGAAAAAAGTGTGTATCCATCATCTGTTGGATAGAGTGGTCTCTAGGTGTCTTTTAGGTCTATTTGGTGTAGGATAGTTTGACTCTATTTCTTTGTTGATTTTCTGTCTGGATGATCATTGATGAAAGTTGGGGAGTTAAAGTCCTCAACCATGGTTCTTCTGGAGTCCGTCTCTCTGTGTGTCTGTCGGTCTGTCTGACTCTCTCTCTCTCTAGGTATACTAATACATGTTTTATAAATCTGGGTGCTCTGATATGAGGAGCACATATATTTAGAATTGTTTTTTCTTTATGCTGAATTGACCTCTTTATCATTATGTGTTGACCTCATCTCTTTTGACTGATTTACAGTCTAGTTTATCTGATATCGGTCTGGCCGCTCCTGCCTTCTTTTAGCTTCCACTTGCACAGCACATCTTATTACATCCTTTCACTGTCTGTCCATGAGTGTCCTCAGAGGGGAAGTGAGTTTCTTGTAAGCAACAGAGTTGGGTCTTACTTTTGTGTCCATCTGGTCACTTTGTCTTTTAATTGAGGAATTTAATACATTTCCCTTTATGGTAATTACTTACAGGTAAGTGTGGTACTAGAACCACTGTGTGACTTGTTTTCTAGTTTTTTTGTAGTACCTTTCTTTATTTTTCCCTCTCCAATAATCTTTGTTGGTGATTAAGTGAATACTCRAGTAGTGTATTATTATTTTACATTATTTTTGGTTTGTTTTGGATTTCTGTTTTTTTTTTTTTTTTCTTCAGTACTATGAAAATATCATGCCACTAGCTCCTGGCTTACAAGGTTTCTCCTGCGAAGCCAGCTGTCAGATGAACTGGGGCACCCCATGTGTCTTGAGAAACTTCTCTTTAGGTTTTGCTTGAGTGGGCTTGATTATAAAATGTCTTGGGGTAAACTTGGGTGAGTTAAATTTGACTGGTTGACTTTGACCTTCCTGTCTTGAACATTTGTATCCTTCTCTGGATTTGGGAAGCTTTCTCTGAATATTTCTTTGAATAAACTTCCTACAGGACATTTCTGAAGGACATTCCCAAGTCCTCCCTGAACCCCAGGAACCTTCATATTTGCTCTTTTTTAAAAAGATTTTTTTTAGTTGAAGATGGAGACAATGCCTTTATTTCTATTTATTTATTTTTATGCGGTGCTGAGGAGCGAACCCAGGGCCTCACACGTGCTAGCACTGAGCCCCAGCCCCAGCCCAGTATTTGCTCTTTTAATGCCGGCCCAGGGTATAAGCTTTCTTCATGACTCGTCACTTTTTCCTTTTTTCTCCTTCAACTGTGTATTTTCAATGGCCTGTCTTTGAGCCAGTTCTTTCTTCTGTTTATTCTCTCCTTCTATTGATACCTTCTATCACATTTTTACCTTCACTGAGTGTAATTTGTCAGCTCAATAATTCAATTTTTTTAAATTGCTTTCATCTCTTTGTTAAGTTTCTTAGAGTATTAAAACTCTATTGTGATTTCCTCCACACTGGTTACTGCCTGGTAAGTTTCTAGCCCCTTATTCTGAGTACCAGGTGAGGCCATGGTTTTCTGAAAGCTCTCAAAGCTTGTTAGTTTGTGGGATCATCCAGGTATTGAAGATCAGATATTTATTCTGTCTTCCCGGTCAGGCTTTGTTGGTGCCTGTCTTTCCAGAAATTCTAAGCCATCCAGGCCCAGGTTTAACCCAAATACCCTGTCGGTGTGTTGTTCAGAAGATGAGGCAAGCACCTAGAGAGAGAAGCCTGTCCCACAAGCCTCTCCCTGGGTCGGCCTGATGCCCTGTCCACAGTTACTGGGCCTAGGGTCAGACACTGCAGGATTCTGCCAAGTTCTGTCAGTCACCATGGATAGAACAGCCCAGCTCCTGTCATACCTAATGACCATCAAAGCCACCAAGCTTTGTCAGACCATGAGCCCCCACAGCCCCCAAGACTAGCACAACACTGGAATGGGACCGAAACCCCTGCCATCAGCCCCAGCTGACRCTAGCTAGGAGCGCAGGAGAAGGGGGCTCTGGCTTCCCCTGGCTTTGGAGCAGTGGCAGAGGCTCCATTCACAGGCAGGCCTCAAGAAGGGGCCATTAGGACCTGCCCAGCRTTAGTTTCCCCTGCAGCACTAAGTTCCATGGCTAAATCCTGTGCTTACCACCTGCCTACCCCATCGAATGGAGTCTGGCCCCATCTGTGCCGCTCAGGGCTGGGGTGGCACTGGTAAAGGTGGTCCCCTGGCCACCTGGGCTGATGCTCAGCTGGGCATAACTGAGTCTCACAGCCACAAGGCCCTGTGCAATCCCAGAGGTGCACTAAGGAGCATGCCACAGTGGGTGGTGACRGAGGCCACAACGTACATCAGTCCTTCGAGGCTCAGTTCTCTTCTGCTGCCAGGTCGAGTCTGGAGCCCATATGTGAGCGCTGGCCTAGTGATAGCTGTGCTGCCCCAGGTCGAGGGATGGAAAGTGGAGATAGTCCCTTGTCCACCAGGGCTCACACCTAAGCCTCAAAGCCACAGGGAGCAGGCGCWCTCTGCATTAGCCTATGAGTGTCATTTACCATTATCACCATCATCCCCATTTCACAGATGATAAAAGGCACAGGGAAGGCAACACTTAGCCCAAGGTCACACGGATAACAAGCAGTGAAGCTAGGAGGCAGCCCAAAGCAGCCTGATTTTAGAGTCTGCATTTTTAACCAAATTGTGATTCTGCCTCCACTCTAAGGTGAAAGAAGGGTATTTCAAGCACTATAAAATTCCTGTGTCAAGGGCTCCCTTTCAACCTCGTCACTTGAAGAAGCTCTGCTTGACCTTCCTCCAACCCCATGGCCAAGAGAGTTGCAGTGATTGGAGCTGGTGTGAGTGGCCTGTCCTCCATCAAGTGCTGCTTGGATGAGAACCTGGAGCCCACCTGCTTTGAGAGAAGTGATGACTTCGGGGGACTTTGGAAGTTCACTGTGAGTGGTCACACCCTTCCATTTCCATCAGTCACACTCTGGCCACTGGCTTTGTTTCTGGTCAGACATGGTGGCTCTTGCCTGCCTTGGTGATCAAGTGAGGGAGTAGCTCACTCTGTCCACAGACATGTGCATGGTGCAGGGATCGACGCTGTGCAGGACACGGTCTCAGGGAGGAGCCTCGAGTGCAGGCAGAGCATGGCTGGGGACAGGGAAGAGAAAGGAGGAGACTTGAGTCTGATGGGGTATTGGGATGATTTCTGAGCCGCAGACATTCTAAAAGTAGCAGAGTGTCCCATCAAGTAAGCAGAGCAGCACTGGTGAACAGGGATACCTCCCAGCTAGGGAGGAAACCAGCATCAGGCGGTGGAGGCACAACCACCAGGTATTTTTCAGGTCTTTAGGAAGAAAACCTGCAAGAGTGAGGCAGGATCCCAGGCCTTGGAAGGTCTGGTGGGTAGGGGAATAGCTTTTGCATTATCAGAACAGAAAGAACCCAGGAGCTGACCAGTCCGTCTTATGAGTAGAATATGCTGCGTGCAGAGCTGTGCTCAGGGTAGGTGACTTGAGCATCAGAAAGTGGGTCTGGAAGTGGCTAGATACCTGCCTTAGGCCAGGAATGGCTCTGAGGACCATTGGTTACAGGGAGTAGCAGAGTATTCAACAGGGACTAAGGGAAAATAAGAAGGTGTCAGAAGATAGGATCCAGGAAGGACCAAGTACTCAGCGTTTCAGGGGGAAAAGCAAAAGCAGTATCCATTCACCTGCTATCRATGAGGAAACCTTCGAGAAAGAGATGGCATTTGCCCAATCTTTCATAGATGGTGGAGAAAATAGAAAATGCAGCAGGAGTGGTCCAAACCCTAGGGGAATAGGGTACCGGGGGAAAGCAAAACAACATTAGCAACAACAACAACAACACCTTTTTCTAATACAGTCTGAGACTCAACAGGACACCACGATTGGTTTGATTTCTTTCTCCTAAAGTAATACAGGTTAATTTTAAAAAATAATATTGAATTAAACAAAAGGAAAAATACAAATAAAATATAATAATAATACCCACATGTCAGCACTATTAAAATTACAATGTTATTCTTCAAATCACAATGATAATCTTAATTTTCATTCATTCGATAATGTCCTTCTGCCAGGACACAGACAGGGACCCTGCCCTCCTTTGTTGAGTGGAGAAATAAAAACAGCAAACAGATCATTGCAACATGGTGTGACCAGTTCTGTGTTAGAAGTRCAAGAGACTTCTTAGGTAGAGTTAAGGAGAGACTGGAGGGAAAGATGCAGGTTCCCCTCAGCCACAAGAAATTCACCCGTGTCTTTAGATCTTCTTGTTTTGCTGAGTGATGGAGACTGAGAGCAGACACAAGCTGAGGGACACGGGAGAACACAGAGGCTAATGGCGATTCTTTCCTGCAGACTGAGAAGGGATGAAGAGAGATGGGGTACAGGGGACATAGGTTGTTTTCTGCTGATGGGAAGGAGCCAATAAAGAGATAGTGATTGAAAATATACATAGACAATAATTAGGAATATCAGCTGGGGTTCCCTGCCCAGGAAGGACTATGGTAATCCCACTTGTAATCCCAGTGGCTCTGGAGGCTGAGGCAGGAGGATCATGAGTTCAAAACCAGACTCGGCAAAAACCAAGGTGCTAAGCAACTCAGTGAGACCCTGTCTCAAAATAAAATACAAAATAGGACTGGGGATGTGACTCGGTGGTCGAGTGCCCCTGAACTCAATCCCCGGTTACCCCCACAAAGGAGGACAATAACCAGAGCAAGTGTGCAAGCAGTAGCCATGGCCAGGGGAGAAGGAAAAGAGCACTGAGCGGGCCATGGGCCCTGCATTCTCGGAGTCCACTGAGGATGACSGTGGTCTTGGGGGGCCCTGTTACCTTTCATCAGCTTCTTGCAGTTTGAGGAAGATGCTGTATTCAATTACTCCAATCGTACTACTGCTTCCTCATCGTTATAGCATGGGGACCCAATGTTGGGTTTCCTGGAACTCTTCAAAACGACAAGTAGAACAGTAACTGCTGTGACGCCCTCTCAGCTGGGCTAGCACGAGCCACCAAGATCTCTGTTCTCTTCCGCCTGTCTCCTTCATTCTGTCCGACTAACTCTGCCTTCACCGCAGGAAGATTCCAAAGACGGGATGACCAGGGTCTATCGGACGTTAGTGACAAATGTCTGCAAGGAAATGTCATGTTATAGTGACTTCCCTTTCCAAGAAGATTATCCCAATTTCATGAGACATGAGAAATTTTGGGACTATCTACAAGAATTTGTTGAGCACTTTGACCTCCTGAAATACATTCGGTTTAAGGTAAGATATTTTGGGTTATGCAAGTTTAATGAATGAGAGCTGGTCTATCAGGGGTGTTTAAATGAACATTTTCTTGATTTTTACCTCTGTATAAATAAGGCAGATAACAATGTCTCCTCCTGCTGTTCTTGTTCTACTCAGATCATTGAATATCCTGATTTTTCCTCTAAATGCTGAACTCTCATTTGGGATGAAATTAATTTATTTTKGGGGGGAAGAAAAGGAAAGTAATTTTGTTCACTAAACCCATTAGGAAGAAATGACTAGAAGTCTGAACCACAGAAATGACAATGGAGCAAATCTCATTTTCCTCAATCTTTCCCCTGCATCGGGGATTGCAGTTCATTTTCTTCCTGGTCTGGGTGCCACCCCTTTGGGAGTGTGCACACGCTACCGCACTCCTCCCTTCAGTCCTCACAGGCTCCTGCGGGAGGGCCTGGTCCGCTTCACATAGCAGGCCTGGGGGCCGCGCCAGGCACTGCCACACTCAGAGGCTGGGGCAGGAAGCCAGTGTTTGTCTGTCACTTGTAGACCACTGTGTGCAGCGTGACAAAACGTCCAGACTTCTCCGAAACGGGTCAATGGGATGTCGTCACAGAGATGGAGGGCAAGCAGGACAGAGCAGTCTTTGATGCTGTCATGGTGTGCACAGGACACTTCCTGAGTCCCCATTTGCCTTTGGAGTCCTTTCCTGGTGAGTCGTTTTGACCCACAACCATGCCTACTCTTTGGGGTTCCTCTAGAAGAAACATTATTGATTTGTAGTTGAAATTGCCACGATTATAGACAACTTTCTATTTACTCTAAAAAAAATGTACAAAATTACTTTGAAAGATACAAAGCACTGTGCAGATATCAGGTCTTATTATTTACTTATTAATATAAGTGTCATTGTTTAAGCTTTATCATACATGTCTAATTCAAGTTCAGTGATTAAATAAGGTTCTGAACTATTAGGTCTGTCATTAAAAAAAAAAAAAAACAGGTTTTGATTTTGGAGGGTGAATGGCAGGACATTTGAATCAAGACTGCCCTGTAGCTCAAGAATTTAAGTGAGTATCAGGAAGTCTGACAGATTGTTTTAAGATGAAACAACCAGAAAATATACATGAAGAAGAATCTATTCACCCTTCAAAAGTCACCACAATAATGATCCATTCATTATACCTCTTAGATCAGGGCCATCCATATACAGGAGGTTTTGAAACTCCTTTTTGGAAATGCTTTTAACTCCAATAGCACATTCTTAGTATACTCATGATCAGCAAATCTCTGTCTCAAACCTTAATCTTTTGAGATCAAAACCGATTATTTGGGAAGCCCAAACCTATTCAGAACCAGGCATAGAAAACAAAGTCAAATGAGAATTACTAAAATGTTGTATAGCTACTCTTTTGTCACTAATGGTTCTAAAGGCAACTGAATAAGTATTGAAATTTTTTGAGGGAGTGAAACCACTTAGAAGTAAAGGAAGTGTCTAAATAATAAAACTTGTTGACCTTGGCAACCAAAAAATGAAATATGAATATCATAAAAGCAATCATAATTAAACAGACTGTCCTTAACAATAAAGTGAGAATTCAATCCAGGCTTTAGTAAGAAGCAATATTGTATTTGTGGYTTGGGCTTAGGTGGCCCTGGAGGCTGAAGGAACACATAACGCCTCTTATAACAATGTTTCCATTGGAAAATGTCTGGCAAGTGCCAGACAACCTGTTCAGAATCTCAGGGCTGTTCATGTGGTGCAAAGTCCCTTTCAATTCCCAGCAGACTGGCACTCTCCCACAGGCCATCACCTCGTTCACATGAAATATGGGAGGCAGAGGTRAGAAGATCACAGGTTCAAATCCAGACTGGGCAACTTAGCAGGACCCTGGCTCAAAATGAAATTTTAAAAAAAAGGGCTGGGGATGTAGCTCAGAGGTAGAGTGCTTTCCTAGCATGCACAAAGCCCTGGGTTCAATACCCAGTATTACAAAGGGGAAAAAAATTAATGTGTAAACATTTTATGTACATAMATCACATTCTTTTTAAATTGTTTACTTTAATAAACACATAAAAGTATACATATCTGTGGGGTAACATGATGTTCTGATAAATGTGTACAATGTATAACATTCTATGTGTATAAACATATCTATCTCCTCTTCATTTGTTAGTACTTTGTGGTTAAAACATACAAAATCCTGGGATGTTGTTATTTATAATTACCTTGTGTGAGAACATCAGAACTTACTTCACTTATGCCTCCCCCTTCTCTCTTGCCTTGGATAACCACTATTTCTACTCCCCAAATCTAGGAGATAAACTTTTCTTAAATTCCACCTATGAGTGGAATCATGCAGTGCTTGTCTCTTTGTGCCTGGCTTAACTCCACTCACCATGAGGACCCCCAGGCCCCACCACGTTTCCTCACATGGCCGGCTCCATCCTCCTTTGTGGCTGAGTGGCACCCACTGTGTGTGTATATATACGACGTTTTCTTTGTCCATTCATCAACTGATGGACACTTGGGCTGTTTCCAGTCCTTGATCATTGTGAATCCTGCTGCAATAAATCATGCAAGTGCAAATGTCTCTCCAATAAATCAGTTTCATTCATGTATTCCTCTGGTTACACACCCAATAGAGGGACTGCCAGATCACGGGGCAGTTCTATTTCTCATCTTTGAGGAACCTTCACACTGTTTGGCACAATAGCCACCGTAATTTGCCTTCTGCCGACAGTGAGCAAGGCTCCCAGTCCTCCACACCCTCACCAGCGCTCGCTCTTGTCTTGTTTTCACAGCCCTCCTAACTGCAGTGAAGTGGGATCTCGCCATGGTTTGACATGCATTTCCTAATGATTAGTAATTTGAGAATTTCTTTCCAGAAATTAGCCATTCATAGATCTTCATTTGATAGATATTTAGGCGTATTGCCCTTTTTTWAAAAAATCAGATGATTTGTTTTTTTCGTTTGTTTTTGCTGCTGAGTTGATAAAGTTCCTTTTATATTCTGAATACTAACCCCTTGTCAGGTGTATATACTGCAGATATTTTTCCCATGCTGTAAGTTGTCTTTCACTCTATTGTTTCTTTTGCTGTGCGGAGCATTTTAGTTTGATTTGTACACGCTGACTTGTGTTGCCTATGCTTCTTTTTTTTTTAATCCCAAAAAAAAAAAAAAAAAATCCTTGCCCATTTCAATGTTCTAAAGCCATTCTCCTTTGTTTTCTTCCAGTGCTTCATGGTTTCAGGTCTTTTTTAAGTGTTTTGTCCATTTTGAGTTGTTTTTTGTGTATGGTGAGAAATCTGGTCTAGTTTCATTGTTCTGCATGTGAATATCCATTCACTGAAGAGAATGTCCTGTCTCTGCAGTGTGTCTCTTCAGCACCTCTGTTGAAGACAGTTGCCTGTGGGTGTGTGGGTTTACCTCTAGACCTAGTCTGTTCTGTATGCCAATACCAACCATGCCATTTTGATGACTGAGTCAGCTTTGTGGTATGTTTTGAAGTCAGGTAATTTAATGATGCTTGTTTTGTTTTCTTATTTCTGTTTCTAAGATTTCTTTGGCTAACTGGGAATTTCTGTGGTTCCAAATGAATTTTAGAAGTATTTTCTAGTTCTGTGAAGAATGTCATGGGTGTTTGGATGGGGATTGCATTGACTCTGCAGGTTGTTTTTAGCACTATGGACATTTTACCAACGTTAATATTTTAATCCATGAACATGGCATCTCTTTCCATTTTTTAAATGTCCTCTTCAATGTCTTTTAATAATCAGTGCTTTAAAGTTTTTATTGTAGAGATCTTTCACCTCTCTGGTTAAATTTATTTAAATGGGACTGTTTTCTTGATTTCTATTTCAGAGTATTTTCCATTGGCATATAGCAATGCTACTGATTTTTATATGTTGATTTTGTATCCTCCAACTTTGTAGAACTCATCTATTATTTCCAATAGTTCTTCTGTGAAGTCTTTGGGGTTTTTTTAAAATGTAGATATATAAAAGCATGTCATCTGCAAATGTGGACAATATGACTTCCTCCTTTCCAAACTGGATGGAGTTTTCTTTAGCCTGATTGTTCTGGCAAGGATTTCCAGTAGTGCAATGTGGAATGAAAGTGGTGACAGTGGCATCTTTGTCTTGTGCCAGATCTCAGAAGCCCTGAGCCTTTTCCCACTCAGTATGATGTTAATTGTTGGCTTAGTATATATGGCCTTTATTATGTTCAGGTATGTTCCTTCTCTACCTAATTTGTTTAATGATTTTATCATGAAAGGAAATTGAATTTTATCAGAAGCCTTTCTACATCTATTTAAATGATTAGGTAATTTTTGTTCTTTGTTCCTGTTGATGTGTTGTATTGCATATGTTGAACCATCCTTGCATTCCTGGGGTGAATTCTGCTTGATTGTGGCGAATAATATCTTTAGTGTGCTGGTGAGTTCAGTTTGCCATCATCTTGCTGAGGATTTATGCATCTATTTATTTATTCATCAAGGACATTGGCCTATTAGCCTCTTTTCTGTTGTTGTGAGCTTGTCTGGTTTTGATATGGGGCCTCACAGAATTAGTTTAGAAGAATCTCCTCTCTTCAGTTTTTTGGGATGGTTTAAACAAGTGTTGGTGTTCATTCTCCTTTAAATGTTTGATAGAATTCAGCAGTGAAGGCATCTTGTCCTGAACTATTTTTGGTGGGAGACTCTTTATTATTGAGTCAGTATTCTTACTTATTAACAGTCTGTTCAATTTTTCTATTTCTTCATGTTTCAGTCTTGGTAAGGTACATGTACCTGGGAATTTGTCTGTTTAGGTTTACTATGTCTTCATAATTCAGTCTTGATAAGGTCTGTGTGTCAACAAATCTGTCCATTTTTTTAGGTTATCAAATTTGTTGATGGATAGCTTTTTATTTCTGTGGTCAGTTGCAATCTCCCTAATATTATAAGTCTTCTCTTTTGTTCCTTAGTCAAGCTAAGAATTTGTTTATTTTCTTTATTCTTTTGAAAAACCAGCTCTTCATTTCATTGATCATTTAAATTTTTTAGTCTCCCTTTAATTTGTTCTAATATTTATCATTTCTTTCATTCTATCAATTTTTGGTTTAGTTTTTTCTTGTTGTTCTACTTCCTTAAGGTGCAATGATAGGTTGTTTATGTGAGATCTATTTATCTATCTTTCTTTCTTTCTTTTGGTACTGGGGATTTAACCCAGGGATGCTTTACCACTGAGCTACATCCCCAGCCCTTTTTATTTTGTGACAGGGTCTCATTAAGTTGCTGAGGCTAGCCTCAAACTTTTGATCCTCCTACCTCAGCCTCCCAAGTAATAGGGATTACAGGAGTACACAACCATGCCCAGCCTTCCTATTTTTTTTTTTTTTACGTGGGCATTGATTGCTATAAACTTCCCTCTTAGTGCTGATTCTGCTGTATCCTATAAGTTCTGGGGTTTTTTTCCATTTGTTTAAAAAGATTTTAAAATTTCCTTCTTAATTTATTCCTTGATTCACTGGATGTTCAGGAGTAAGTTCTCTATGTATTCATACAGTTTCCAAAGTTTTGCTTGTTATTCTAGTTTATTGCATCATAGAAAAAAAGATACTTTAATTAGATTTCAATTATTTAAATTTGTTGAGACTTTTCTTGGCACCTACAATATGATCTACTCTAGAGAATGTTCCATGTGATGTTAGAATAATGTTTATTCATTGGTTGATAGAATGTCCTGTAGATGTCTATTAGATTCATGTGGTCTAACTCTGCTATTTCTTTATCAATTTTTCATCTGGATGATCTGTCCAGTGATGAAAGAAGGAATGTTAAAAGTCCCCTACTATTATTGCATTGGTCTGTCTCTCTCTCATATATATTCATATTCTCTCTCTCTCTCTCTCTCTCTCTATATATATATATATATATACACACACATATTTGCTTTATATTATATTTAGTGCATACAATATTTGGTACATATATATTTATAATTATTTCCTCTTGCTAAGTTGACCCTTTTATCATTATACTATTATGTATGGCCTTCTTTTTATTTAGTCTACTTTATGTGAAATTAGCATAACTATTCCTGCTTTCTTTTGGATTGTCATGCAATATCTTTTTCCATCCCTTCACTTTGAGTCTTTATGTGTCTTTAGAAGTGCATTTCTTGTAAGCAGCATATAGTTGGGTCTTATTTTTATGCATTCAATCACTCTTTTAACTGGAGAATTTAACCATTTAAATTTAAGGTCTTTAATAATAGGTAAGGTCTTACTACTGCCATTATTTTCTAATTTTATTTCAATTCCTTTTTTTCTTTCTCCCTCTCTCTCATATAGTCTTCCTTCGTGTATAAGTGATTTACTCTAGTAGTGTGTTTTTATTCCTTTCTTATTATTTTTGATACATCTATAGTAGATTTTTGCTTTGTTATTACAGTGAGATTTACAAAAAAAGAATTTTGTGATGATAACAAGCTATTTTGAAATGACAATAACTTAACATTGATCATAAAAATAGGGAGAGAAACAAAAAGAGAGAAGAAATACTAATTAAAAATTCTACCATTGCCCTCCATTCTTCTCTATATTTTTAATTTTCGTTATCCTATTTTCTATCTGTCTATATTGCCTATTTCTTAACATATTGATGTAGTTATTATTTTTATTTATTTGGGCTTTTAGTCTTCATATGAAAGATGTGAATGGTTTTTGCGTTATCTACTTTATTAGAGCATTCTATATATGCCATCACAATTACTCTTACCAATGAGTTTCTGATGTTTTCTTCTTACACATTAGCACCTCTTTTAGTTTAGAGAACTCCCCTTAGCATTTCTTGTAGGACAGATCTAGTGGTGATAAACTCTCTTGTTTGAGAATGTCTTTATGCCTCTTTAATTTTTAAAGGATGGCTTTGTTCGGTATAGTCTTTAAAATCACAGTCCTTTAGAATATATCTTTTAGGTAAAGTAACATATATCAACAACCTACTTTTTTTTTTTTTAGTTTGAGATGCTTATTCAGACTCCTAAAGAAGAAGATGTTAGGGGCTGGGGATGTGGCTCAAGCGGTAGCGCGCTCGCCTGGCATGCGTGCGGCCCAGGTTCGATCCTCAGCACCACATACCAACAAAGATGTTGTGTCCGCCGAGAACTAAAAAATAAATATTAAAATTCTCTCTCTCTCTCTCTCCCCTCTCTCACTCTCTCTTTAAAAAAAAGAAGAAGATGTTAATTACACAGTTGGATATGAGTGTAGCACTCATGGGAGAAATTATAGTTGAGTATAATAATATAGAAGGGGTGTCATTATTGGGGACTAGAAATAACCTACTTCTTCCCTAGGATGTTCAGGATAGTGCATGGGACATTTCTTACTATCTGCAATGAGTTTTATTTCCCAAATTGCTTTGAAAGGGAATGCATATGTGGCAATATATGATCCCGTGCATTTCTAACTAGGCAGGGTGCACGACAGGTACATCTGGGCTAACTGCATCCCAGGAAACAGGAGCATCATAAGCTTGTTCTACTTCCTGCAACTAGTGGCAGGAGCAAAGGGCTGCCATATTTCTGGAACTTCCTTTTTTTAACGAACCCTATTCCTGCTTGCTGGGGAATTACAGCCTCCGGTATTTCAAACTGTCTAATCCTTTCCTCTCCTCAGGAATCCATAATTTTAAAGGCCGGATCCTGCACAGTCAAGAGTACAAGAGCCCAGAAGGCTTTCAGGGGAAACGTGTCTTGGTGATTGGTCTTGGGAACACTGGAGGAGACATTGCGGTGGAGCTCAGCCGAACAGCAGCTCAGGTACCACTTCTGAGTCAGTGCCCTCCTCCCGTCTTCATCCCTGGCGTCCAGAGACACGTTCTCAAGACAAGAACGCCTGCGGGCCAGTTCCTAATTGTGCTGACGTGGGCAAGTGAAGAAACTGAAAGTCTTCAGGGCCACTCTTTTAGAAGCCAATTAACAGAACTGAACCATCTCCAAAGAGTCTAGGAAGGGTGTCAATGCCAGGCCACAGGCRTTTTTCAGAAGAGCTCCTTCAGGAACGAGACCAAGTGGGCAGAGTGCTCCCACACGGGCAGTTGTCCTGTTTTTAACTCACTCTGCAATTCCGGCAAAACCCCACATAAGACTAGAAAGAGGAGGTTGTTTTCTGGATGTCTCCAAGTTTTCTACTAGAAACCAGATTTGTTCCTTGGTTTAAGATAAAAGCAACCCTTTCTTTGCCTAAGAAGTATATATAATGATTTTAGAAAGCCCAAACATAAAATCACAAAAATCTAAATCTATTCCACTTCAGCATAAAGTATCAGATAATGATTAGATGTAGAAAGAATATGTTGGCACTTAATTCAGTTAAAATTGCTTTTCCAAGCCCTCATCTAAAATTTTATATTATTTACATATAAAAATTGCCAGGTCAATACTGTGTACCTCAAAACATTCTAATCCTGTTCTTATAACTCTATAAACATAATGAAATTCTCAACATAACTAAATCGGGTAAAGTGCTTTTTAGAACACTGACAACAGGAATATGTAACTCATATGTAGATATATGGGACAAATTTATAAAAACTCTGTTAGAAGACCAGACTGCTGTAAGACCACTTAAAACACAGTTGAATAAAAGTACTACAAAATGATGACACGTATTCATCCCTATTGCCTTACTTTCTAGGTACTTCTCAGTACTAGAACTGGCACCTGGGTTATCAGCCGCTCTTCAGACAGAGGCTACCCTCTTAACATGATGATCAAGAGAAGATGCTATACGTTTATTAACCAACTGCTGCCTCCATGTTTCGTAAACTGGCTTCAAGAGAGGCAGATGAGTAAAAGACTAAACCATGAGATTTATGGATTAAGTATTACAAAGGGGTACTTCAATTCTTTTATTTCATAGAAAAATTTTTATTTATTTATATTCTTTACTTTTTATTATCATGCAATAACTGCAATGCTGATGGGGTTCGTGGTGATATTTCCAGATAGATAGATAGATAGATAGATAGATAGATAGATAGATAGATATCTCCACACACCCTCTTCCCAGTCTCTGAGAATCAATGTTCTACTTTCAGATTGACATTTTTAGCTTCCATGTATGAGAACATATGGTTCTTGTCTTTCTGTRTCTGGCTCATTTCACTTAACACAATGTCTTCCAGTTCCATCCGCTTCAAATGACAGCGTTTCATTCTTCTTTATGACTCAGTAGTACTCAGTTGTACACATATATGCATTTCTTTATCCCTTCTTCTATTGATGAACACCTAGGCTTACTCCATACCTTAGCTACTGTGAAGAATGCCAAAATAAATGGGCATGCAGGCATTGCWTTGGTATGATAATTTCACTTCCTTTAAATATGTACCCACAACTGGGGATTRGCTGGAGCACATATGGTAGATCTATTTTTAGTTTTTTGAGGACCCTTTATACTATTCTCCACAATGGCTGTACTCATTTACATTCTCACCAACAGTGTATAAAAGCTCCTTTTTCTCAATAGCCTCACCAGCATTTGTGACTTTTTTTATCAYAGCCATTCTAACTGATAAGGCAGTATYTCATTATAGTTTTTATTTGCATTTCTCATGGGAAATATTTTAAATCAATATTTTTTCTATATTATTCAGAACTTGAGATGTGCAATAACAAAAGTAGGGATTCAAGAAAATGAAGGGTGCTGTCATTTGCAGCTAGAAAATCAGGAAATTTAGATTGGCCCTGAAGACCCTTGAAAATGCTGCCATGTGAAAAACACAGTGTGGCAGCATCCGTGTGTGCAGCTGGTCTGTTCTCACCAGTCTACAATGAATGTTCTGGCAGAGTRAGGAGGAGGTCTGCACTCACAGTAGCATTTCCTGAAACCATGTGTGGTGATGCACCTCTGCACAGAGCTGTACACTGCCAGGGGGGCGGGGAGGCTGAAATGGGTATAAGATCATTAAAATGTCATTTTTATCATGTGCTGACCCAAATATTCTTTGATAAGATACATTTCAACCTTCAATTTATAAAAAAAAAAAAAAAAAAAAACTAATGGCTCTTGATTTTATTTCTTGCACTCTAGGAGTCTTATTACAGAAGTCAGGGCCTAATCCCACATGATG